AAAAAAAAAAAAAAAAAAAAAAAAAAAAATAAAAATAAAAATAAAATAAAATAAAATAAATGAAATTAAATAAATAAATAAAATAAATAAATAAATATATATATATTATATATATATATACAGGCGCATGAGGTAATATCGGGAGAAAGACGACGAGATAATTTTATTCGTTTTGGTGATTTTTCATTTGAAGGATTAATTGGAGAAGATCAATTCTATGAAATTCTTTTTGTTGCTTTTTTTCATTCATTTATTCCTTTTATATTTGGTTATTTACATACTTTTGGTGATAATTCTAATCCAACTAGACAGGTAAACCCTAATAAACCCTAATAAACCCTAAACCCTAAACACTATATACTATACAGTAAGGTATTTATGTATTTATTTTGTCCTTTTTTTCATTCTTTTATTCCTTTTATATTTGGTTATTTACATACTTTTGGTGATAATTCTAATCCAACTATAGACAGGTAAACACTAATTAACACTAATAAACCCTAAACCCTAAACCCTAAACACTATACAGTAATGTATTTATCCTGTTTATTTTGTCGTTTTTTTTTATTCTTTTGTACCTTTTATATTTGGTTATTTACATACTTTTGGTGATAATTCTAATCCAACTATAGACAGGTATACACTAATTAACCCTAATAAACCCTAATAAACCCTAAACACTAATTATATAAACACTATATACACTAATATGTATTTATTTATTTATTTATTTTGTTTATTTTGTCGTTTTTTTTTTCATTCTTTTATTCTTCGTTATTTACATATTTTTGGTGATAATTCTGGTATATATGTTTGATAAACCCTAAACCCTAAACCCTAAACCCTAATTCATGATTGTAAACCCTAATTAATAATTAGCATAGATAATACCTATTTAATAATACAAGTTAACCTTTATTATCAATTATATAAACTTATTAAACCCTAAATAAACCCTAAATAAACCCTAAATAAACCCTAAACCCTAAACCCTAAACCCTAAAAAAAAATAATAATAATATATATATTAATATATATATATATGTATATATATATTTGTGTGCAGTTTTTTTGTAGTTATTTAGGAATAGTATTGAGTAGTGAATTATTATTACGTTTAGATAATAAATTGAGTAATTTATATTCCTTTATACCTTATTTTTCTTCTTATCTTGCCTATGAGAAAATAAATTTCTTACATCATTGGATAGCAATTGTATTAAATGCATTACTTTTATTATCTTATGATTTCTCTGATCATCATGATGAATTACAAGAAGAAATATGTAGACATCTACTCAAATCTGCATTAGATAATATTACACAGTAAGTTATATAGAGGGGACGACGAGTAACCCATGCTGTTCCTGTTCTTGTTTCTCCTGTTGCTGCTCCTGTTGCTGCTGCTGTTGTTGCTGCTCCTGTTGCTGCTCCTGTTGGTTGTATATGGTTGTTTATATACATCTACTTAAATCTGTATTAGATAGTATTACATAGGAAGAAGAGGAACAGGAACAGGAAGAGGAACAGGAACAGGAAGAGGAGGAACTGCTGCTGATGATGATGATTGTCGTTGTCATGGTGGTGGTTTTGTGCTGCTGCTGTTGCTGCTGCTGCTGTTGCTGCTGTTGCTGTTGCTGCTGTTGTTGTTTGGTTGTTTGTTTGATGGTTTTATGTTGTATTTATATATGTTATTTATTTATGCTTTCTTCCTCTATTTATTATTATTATTAATATAATTATTATTAATATAATTATTAATATAATTATAATTAAATATAATTAATTAATTAATTTTTTTTTTTTTTTTTTTTTA